TCCCCCAACTTCTAAAATCGTCTTCAATGGCAGAAAACGTCAATTATTTAAAATATGTGAATTTGACTTCTCCTTGAATTCTTATATCACTACGATAAAATGATGTTAATTTTGGCACAAAATATAAAATCCTATTTACTTTATACAACAAATAGTAATTTATTGCACATATACCATGAAAGTTTCAGCTTTAGGATACTTTGTCGCTTTATTAAGCTGAAATGTTTGTAAAATGCTTTTCATTGACTTTCCATTTGAAGCAAATTAATAATTAAACAACAAATATAGTTGCGAGATGTAATTCTATAACTTCGAAAAAACAAAGTAGGATTTAAAGATAATTTTTTCCAAGAAATATAACAAATGAGAAAATGGACACCTGGAAATTATGAAATGCAGTTTAAGTGGATCTTTTATGAGTCCTAAGCAGACAATGCCATAAACCGAAACAATTCGGTAATAAATATTCACATTACGTTCCCCTTCTACCACAAAATATCCTACCATTGCGCATTTTTTCTGGACGCATCCATTTCATAATGACTTTATATTCACTTTAAATGCCCTCATGAGCATAATCTAATCAGTTTCGCGCAATGTGAAATGCACCCTTTTTACCTTAAATTGATAAAAGGTTGTGTGTTGCCACTGTATTTCTGACGTCATCACGTGTGTTCACTCTCCTATGGGTAACAAATGAAGCAATAAATGATATTAGCAGTGCTACTGTAATGTTGCATCTCTTATAACATGAAATTAAACAATTTTTATAATTTTTTTTTTCCAAAAAGTATTTTGAGAAGAAAAAAATCCTTCAAAATGTTTATATCTTTTGCAGTAATACCACTCCCTCCATTTCATAAGCAAAGCTTTAAGTTCTATGCTTGACCACGTTTTGTAAATAAAAACTCAGAATCACATGCCACGCATATTATATGTTCGAAAATCAGAAATAAATCGATTTTTTTTTTTCATGGATCAATTCTATTGTAATCCTTCACATTAAAAAAAGTAAATACGTTCCGAAATAATTTCTTTTATTTTAAACTACACAAATGTCACAAAAATTGGCATTTTGCCAATTTTTTTCTTATGACTTGAAATCTAAAAATAAATTTGAAAAAAATTATTGTTCGGTGACATAGACAACATGTTCTGCCACTTTTCGTTTCTAATCTAGCAAAAGTGTTTTTGTTGAGATTTCTTATTTCTTTTATCAATTGTAGCTTGTAAAACTCCTTTTTCAATAAAAAGTGACAATTTTTCACCTGTCTTTACGTGACTTGCCTCTAATTTTTTTTTTTCGAAATAGTGACAAGAATATGAGAGAAATTGTCTAAATTTTCTTTCGAGAGTTTTTCTGCAAAGTTTTTTTTTATTCAGTAATGTATCAAGAAGTTTTCTACAATTATTAGGACTCTGATTTTGATGTAATATGCCTTAAAAGCACTTCACATTTCATTAAAGATTTGAAATTTCTCTGGCAATATTAGACGACATTAATTTGTTTTATGTAAGCCTTAGCATAAAATAAATTAAGTAATATTGTCTTATATAGAATATCTTGCTTACTTGCCTTCAGTTATCAGATGTTTCGCAAACAATATGCAAGCTAAATATACGCTATTAGAAATTTCACGAAAAATGATTAAATAGCAATCTATAAAATTATTATTTTACCATATTCAATACAGTTAAATAACAATCAAAAATATGTTTTTCAAACTGTTAGTTTCGAGAATTACTGTACGGTTGAGCCACCAGAATTGCATCAAAGTCAACAAAGCCGAACATATGAAGCCACTTAGTTTCTTGCAGCTAGTTTTATATCATAAGCAGATTAGCCAAGATCTGTTTATCTTATGATAGGCTGAATAGGTGTTCAATTCTCAGCGCTGACGCCACGATATTTCTTCCATGCCTTCAACACATAAAAAAAATTCCAGTGTCTGCACTCCCGAATTTGTGACCCTGGACTATTACAATACGATACTCTCCCTCACGCACAGATTGCAGCGCGATAAAGCTGCGTAACACAAAAAAGTCTAGAATTTCAAATCTCTTATGATAGGAATTTTCAATCTCTTACGATACAACCAGATAAACTAATTACCACCGTTCATTTAATAAAACACAAGTTAACCACAACATAACGAAACTCTTAGCTCCAATGTCCTTTTAAATTTCATTTTTACAATTTCGAAACCATGCTTGTTGAAAATATTTAATATAGCTTTGTATTCATGGTTTTTTAACCATCGGTTTCAAAACCATTAAGACAAGAAATGTTCCTAAACGCAAACTTTACATTTAATTAAATGAACAGACTGTAAGTGGTTATTTTACCATGATTTTAGAATAGAAATTTTAACAGTGTACATATGATAAAAAAATATTGTAATTCGACTATCTTTTTTTTTATGTAACTAAGGGGGTGAATTAAATGTGATCAGCACAACTGAGTAAAAACTGAGTGATATAAAGTTTATGCTTTTGAAGAAAGCAATTACTAGTTATTACTTTTTTTTCGTTTAAAATAACTGTTTCTGTGATTACCGACTTCGAAGATTTCAAAATATAAATTAGAAAATAACGTGTAGTATGGTATTCTAAATAAAATAAAAAGTAAAAAAATTTTCATATTATTTAATAAAAATATCGGAAAAATCTATCATATCTGTGGCGCCAGTCTCTGAAAGCTAAAAGCTAATCCTTGTTATGAGAAGCAGGACGAATCTTTGACGCACCCCTCTGGCGCGCATGACAACAAGAAACAGAAGAAAACAGTTTCGAACGAGGAAGAAAGGCGTACATGCTTCAGAGAGAAGTACAGACTAAGTACTAAGATAAACTCTAACTCTATACGAAACATTTTTATTATTTGTGTTGTCCGAATCTCCATTATTTATATTTATAACCGTCGTTGAACACCCAACCCAATTTTTTGGGTTTACGACTTCTAAAGTTCATCTCCGTAGTCTTGTAATTTTGAACCCAATCCAGAAGACAAGGGAAATCCTGGATCAATCTTTGGGAGAAATTTGTCGTTCTAGAAGACTTTTTTGATGGAACTAACCCGCATTTGCGTTAGATGTAGAAGAAAACCACGAAAATCTCGGTCAGTCTGACGGCAAGGTTGTGTGGTTATGTATCGTTTAAATACTAATTAAATGGATGAGCATGATCTAACATCACAACGAACACATTTAATGAAAACCTGACGAGATACAGAAACTGAAACTAACATAAGCACTTAATACAAAGTTACAGTTAACCTAGCTGATGCCACAAAGGTGACTCTAACCCATGATCCATCTACCACTGAGGATATTTTTACGTCAGCGCTGTGGTCGGTGCGAGACGGATGCGGAATTTGCATCGACCAACCATCCCTGGGATTGGAACCCGGTTCACCTCATTGGAAGGCGAACGCTCTATTCCCTGAGCCACCACGGCTCTTATCTATGTTATGTAAATCATCTATATTTGTGAAAAAATTGTCAATATAATTTTGTATAATAGGAAGAATTCATTACTTACACGCTGACCACTCCTGCCCTCCCACATATATTTTGTTCGACTAAATTAATCAATAGTTTATTTTTCAATGTAATTAATAGATATATACAATATTTTTGACATCGGAAAAGTTGAAACCAATTAAAATATTTTAATCATCTATTATATTATCTTTCGAAAACGTAAATCGAAGATAATTGTAAATAGATAACAACTTTGTTTTCGGTTTACCAAATAGATAGGCAACACAATATTATGAACAGATGGTTTAATGTAAACAAGAATATTGTGCTGCTACTTATTTATCAAACAGATGGCAGAGCAATATTTTTAAAATCTTTATGCACAGCGTTACTGCTTGCTTTCAGAAACGTAAATAAAAGTTTTCAAGCTCGTTTTTTAAAAAAAATAGTCATTTCTACGTTTAAAGGAGGAAGTAGGGGAGAGTCGGGTAGCCCCACCCACCCACTGTCAATTTCATATGTATAGAATATTTTTTCAAATCAATGGGCCATCGGACATTAATTGTTATATTAAAAAAAGATTATTTTCATAGTTTCAAGTATTTATGCAGCTGTTAACATAGTAAACAATAGTTTTGAAAATATGTTGAATACAGTAGTCATGAAATTAAGAAAAATTGGTTGAATGTTTCGATTAAACTTCATTTTAATACTAAAAGAATAATTTTTTTCAATACATACAGCGTTAAAGTATGTAGTCGTAAGTTTAATTTGAGCAAAAACGAAGTTTATATGTGAAAAATTGTTCGAGTAATTACAAATTTACAAAAAAATTGGATTTCGGGTAGCCCCGCTCTCATGATTGTCTGGTATCACCGCCCAATTTTATTTCGTCGATAAATGTACGGTTGCAAAGATTATTATTTTATTGCTACAAATTTGAATGTTATATGCATTTTTAACAACAAATATTATTGTTATTAGATGATAGAATTCACTGAAAGTATATAAATATGTAATAAATAAAATAATTTTGTGATAAAAATGATAAATGAGGTTTATCTATTGTCAATACATTGGTCATTTTCATTTACACCTGAAAAAACAGTCAAAAAACATAATTTTCGTAACTGGGCGGGGCTACCCGACACATTTTGAAAAGAGCTGAAAAACATGTTTTTTTTAAACTTCTATTTTTTTAAGTTAAACTATTCTTTTTTTCGTTTATTCTTTTTGCATTATTTAATTATATGAAAAAATAATAGAAACATACAAAATACTGATTATTACTCAATATTATACAGAAATATAAGCAATACTCCTTAAGTGGGCGGGGCTACCCGACTCTCCCCTACATCTTTCTGAAAATTATGGGAACTTTACTTGTGCAGTGTAAACGCTAAAAAATGTTATTCGATCATTTCGTTTATTTTATTAATCATTAATCAGATAGTTTTAGTTATATCTTGTCATTTTGAGGTAAAATAAATCGTAAGCTAAAGCTAAAATAAATCTTACTTTTCTCCAGTCTTTGTGAATTGTAAATTGTAAAAAACTGCATTTCCATTTTCAATATTGGCTTTCAATTCTCCATTTAAAATTTCTTTTGACTTAATAACTCCTCCTTCAACATTTATTAAAACTTTTCCATTTAAATTTTGGACAATATTATTCTGGGAAAAAAACAATAAAGAAAATATTAATAAACACTCAGCAATAACGAAAGAAAATTACTGAATGGTAATACTATATGGCATTCATTTAAGAATTAATAAAATTAATATATTAAAATAAAACACATAGATGAACCAAAGAAGAAAAAAAATACAAAACAGAATTTTTCTAAAATATCTTTCAGCCTATTATCACATCCTTCAACATTCTTAAAAACATTTTCATTTAAATTTTAAACGATATTGTGGAGAAAGAAAAACAATAAATTACGGTGCTCAAAATAAAAAAACGGACCACCCTTAATAACTTTTGATCTAATGATCGGATCGTCACGTTCTAGGAATTAATCTTAATGGTTTGGGGGGGGGATACCACAAATATGCTAATTAATTAGCACAGATGATATTTTAAGTTACGAAATCAGATACAAAAACGTGCTTTCTCTGAATAAACATACCTTTTTTACCGGATTCGGATTTCAGACAACCAGAATATTGGAGGTGGCCACAATCTGGGAAATGTGATACCCATAGTTTGGTCAAAGTTTGAACCCTTTAATGTTAACCTCATTTTTTGTTTATTTCCCCATATCAAAGCGAATTAAAAAATTTTGGCACACAATAATAAAACTCGTTTATCCAAGGATATAAATATAAAAATTTTAAATATTTATTGAAGTAAATATTTATTATTTTTTATTACTTTATTTAAAAAATTTCGAATTTGTCAAAACAATTTTGAGTTGTAAAGAATAAAATTTTTTTCCATCACTGTAAAATGATGGGGTTTTTTTACAAAGACTGCTTTTTTTACTTTCGTTTACAAAGAATGTAATTTTACAAAGCAAATACAAAATTTGAGCAAAATCTATCGAATAGTTAATAAGAAATTTTATTTTGAAAAAATCGTATTTTTAAAAATCGATTTATCTGTTACTTATCAATCGATTTAGCTCTAATTTTATATTTTGCCAAGTAAAATTGCAGTATGTAAAATGATGTAAAAATTTGTACATTTACAATTCAAAAATTTTCCTATCATTATCAAATAAAATTATAAAAAAGAATAAATATTTACTAAAAGTTATGTTTTGCATGGGGTTAACTTTAGATCGACAAATTTTATAATTCCACACAAAATATTTTAATTCCCCTTGAAAAATTTTTATGATATGAAGAAATACGCAAAAAATAAAATTAACATTAGGGGTCTAAACTTCAGATCGCTCTCCTGACCAACTATGGGAACCATGTTTCCCAGATTGAGATACCCCCTATATTTTGGGGATCAGAAACCCAAATCCATAAAAAAGGTATGTTTATTTAGAGAAAGTATGTTTTTATGTCTGATTTCGTAATTTAAAATATCATCTACACTAATTAATTAGTATATCTGAAGTCAGCTCTTGAATGATTAAAATTGAGTCCTAGAACGTGAAGATCCGATCATTTGATCAAAAGTTATTTAAGTTGATCAATTTTTTATTGTGCGCACTGTAATGATAATATTTTGTGCACAATAATGAAAAACAATAAATTACTGAAGACAATAAATTCTGCTAAGTTTCCATTCTAGAATTAATGAAATGAATATATTAAAAAATTACTATGATGGATCGCTTTAAAACAAAACAGCATTTTTTAAGTTTTCTTTTCAGTTCAAGTTGCTTAATGATACTTCCTTTGGCATTTATCAAAAATTTTCCAGGTATATTTTGGACAATATTCTGGAGGAAAAAATAATATATTGCAAACTATAATATACGATAATCAAAAATGAAATACAGTAAATTACTAAGCATTAATACTACATAGTTTACATTCAAGAATTAATGAAAACAATATACGGGTCATTCTCACGAAAACTGTCATTTTTCAGTTCATNATGAAAATGACTGTTTTTGTGAGAATGACTCATACATATTAAAAAAATTCAAAAAAATGAATCTCTTGAAAATTTAACAGTTTTTTTTTTTAATTGAAAACTCTCTCAATATTTATCAAACTTTTTCCTTTAAAATATTGGTAATTTAATACGTGTTACATGAAAGTCATGAGTGGTAATTGGTCATTGGTAATTTCATTATCTTTTTTTTCCCTTTTGAGGTATCTTTTTATAATGATCTTTTAATATTAACTTTCTAGATCTTTCTAGATATTAACTTAACTAGATGATCTTTTAATATTAACATTTTTAGTCCTTTTTTCCATTTAAGAAAGAATTACGTTTCTTTACAAGTGCTTTTTTGCAATCTCGCAAATTTTTTCACTTTTGAATGCATGAATAAGTTTAATTAGATTATATTTACTTTCATTTTGTGCAATTTTTTTTTGTTTTTCCAATTAAATGAATTTGCTTTCTCTTAATTTTCATGTATGTCTCACCAGAGATTCAATATCTGTGAGGAAAAAACCAGCTAACACAATCTCGAAACAGAGTTTTGTTTAAACTTTAAATAGGTAGTAGTAAATCTAAAAGTAATATATAGTTTAAAGCACAAAAACGTGATATAAATAAATTATTCTAAACTTTTCATTTTAAACAATTTTTCCTTCGATCTTTAAGCTTCAATCAAAGCATAAAATGTTAAGATACTTCTTTTTACCTGCTCAAAAAGTGATAACAGATTACTTTTTTTGTATAAAACTTCTGCGGTCACGTCAGCTGATATTAAGATTTTTAAAACTCCTTGAAGATTCTCAAATTGGTTCCTATTTTAAAGTTTTTGAATGAGCATAATGTTCTGAAGAATATATGCATTTGAAGAGATATGTCATAAAAAAAGCATTCCGTTCAAATTCTTTTATCATAATGAGACATTACAAATTAAACAAAAATAGCTTTTAACAATGAAATTGTAACTAAACTGGAAAACATGACATTGTTTTTGCGTACATTTCTGGGTAAATTTAGTCCTAATTACTCCATCGTAAATCATTTTATTTACAATACTTAATTACCAAAAAATAAAGAAATTAAATTATTATGTAATATAACTGAAATAAATTAATCTGATGAAGAAACAATATAAATATAGATGTGATAAAAACATTAAACATATTAAAGCAATTATATAATAAAACTTGGAGGCTTCGCCCCCTGCTCGCCGGCGCTCACCAACCCCCGGAACTGCTTTCGCAGTTCATTTCGGATTGCTTCGTAATCCAATACTCACTTTGCTCGCTCATTGGATACGTTCCTAACGTCTAGCTTTTGTATACTTTTTTGGATACAGAAGTTCCGAAAACTTTTCACTGTAGAAAATTCTAAACCTGTACATTTCAATATTAATTTGAAATTACAAACAGTTCTCATATTTTTCTTAATCACACTATTCTAAATTTCAATTGTTGAGAAAAGTAACTGTTGTAAGTTTTGTTTTAAGGTCTTTCCCACCAGAGGGCTAAAGCCATGTGTTGTAAAACAATATGAAATAGTAGTCTGAATAGTAGAGAGAGAGAATTTCTTTAAAAACACAATTGTTAATTTGGGTATTTGGCAATACAACACTTATAGAATTGAAGGATTTGTTACGTCAAGCACTCAGGTATCTTAATTTTGATCTAGTTGCGCTTCAATGTAATTTTGATTTATGTTGCTAAGTTAACTATCAAAAAATTCTATGGCTGGTAACAGCATTTTTATTTTTTAAGGTGTTTATTTTTATTTCTTTTAGAATTCGTTCTTTTTTTAGCGAAATGTTTTTTAGCCTAACAGAATTCTTTGCCGACTGTTTTCTCTATAAATGAAGAAATTAAAGTAAATATTTAAGTGTTGTGAAAAGAATCTTATTTAGTTGTACAAAGTACTTCAGTCAAAATTTGGGAGCCACGTAAGAGAATTATACATATTTGATCAGAAACACATCATTAAAAGGCAGAATGCTTTGGTGTTTTCAAAACGTAAACAAAACAAGCCAAACGTTGCCACCATCGGAAAAGAAATGCAGCCAAAATTTGGGAGCCACGTAAGAGAATTATATATATTAGATGATGAAAAAAAAATTTAAAAAATTCAGATATTCTATTGTACTTATGTATTTCTGTATGTATAGTATACATATGATAAAAACCCACGTATTTCTGTATGTAAATGTATGACAAGAACCTATGCTTACGCATTTCTGTATGTATAGTACACGTGTTACAAGACTATACGTATTTCTGCTTGCATATGATTACAGGTTTGCATATGATTGTATACTAGGAGGCTCCGCCCCCTGCTCGCTTACGCTTCCCAACCCCAGAGAATTGCTACGCAATCCTATGTGGTTCACGTCGTGAACCATGGCTCACTGCGCTCGCTCGCCAATGAACACAATGTTCTAGCACAAAGACATAGTATATTATCATCAAAGACATAGTATTTTATCATCAAAGACATAGTATTGTA